TTTTAAGTATTATTTTACATTGCATATTTAAGGGTTTTATTTCACTATTTTCCCTTTTTCCTTGGAAATCATAAAGCGTAATGGAGACTCTTGCTTTTGTGAGTCGAGTTAATTAATAGCTCGATCTTCGATTTACCTTGCTACATTTTTTATCGCTACACTACTATTCTTTTTTCCCACACATCAAATTTCTTAGTGTGATTGAATCGTGAATAGTTTCTTCTGATTAATTATTATATCAATTTCACAACAAGTGCCCCCACCGTGGGACAAAAGGGTATTGTTTACAAGTGAGCACCATGGCTAAATAAGAGATCGTGAAATTTTCCGGAGACAATTATTTTAGATTGTGGAAAGTGAAGATGTAAACAATTTTAACTCAAGATAAGTGTATTTAAGCTTTGGGCATCGATGCATGCACGCCTTAGTAAAGTAGAGAAGACCGAGATGTTGAATAAGGTCAGGAGTACCATTATTTTATGCCTTGGATATAAAGTTCTAAGAGAAGTCTTTAGGGAGCAAATTGCGGTTGCAATGTAGGAAAAACTTGAATCATTGTATATGACCAAGTATTTGGCTCACAGATTGTGTCTTAAGCAACAACTCTATTTATTCTGAATGGTGGAGAAAAAATCCGTAGTGGAGTAGTTGACAGAATTTAGAAAAATTATTGATGATCTTGAGAATATTAAAGTGAAGATTGATGATGAGGATAAGGATCTACTTTTGTTCAGCTCATTACCCATATCCTTTGAGCACTTTAAGGATGCCTTTCTTTATGGTAAAAAAGATACTATCACTTTGGATGAAGTCTAGACAACGGCAAAATCCAAAGAATTTTCAAAGACGAAAGATTTGAATATTGATGATAGTGGTGAAGGCTTAAGTGTGTCAAGAGGAGTATGTGAGCGTAAAGGGACATCCAAATAAAAGTGGTTTGACAATTCAAAGTTAAAACATTTTAACTGTCAAAAATCCGGTCATTTCAATAAGGATTGTCCTGAGAGAAAGGTCAATGATGATTTTATTCAAGTTGTAATTGCCTTAGATGAGGATGGTTATGAGATTTTTCATGCACTAGCTATATTGAGTTTGTAGATTGAAGATAGTTTGTTCATAGACTCAGGTTGCTCTGATCACATGTGTTCATGAATAGAATACTTTGAGAGTTTGAAGTTGGAGCAAGGTGGAGTAGTTTGCCTTGGTGATAATAAGGCTTGCAAGATTCATGGTATAGGTTAGGCTAGACTTAAAATGTTTTATGATCATGAGTTTTTTATTCACAGTGTGAGGTATGTTCTAGAACTCAAGCTAAATTTGTTATCTTTGAGCATGTTTGATAATCTAGGATATTGCACTAGAGTTGAACGTGGAGTGTTGAAGATTTTGCATGATGAAGTGATTATTGTTAAAGGGTCTAAAATATGTGGTATATATATTTTAGAAGGTTCAAATGTGGATGTTCATTCATAATTAACTAGTGGAGGCTTTCATGACAAGAAAGAGCTGTGAGATCTTTTAGGGAAATCTTTTAGAGTTATCAAGAAGGGTCAGACAATACTTATTGATACCGATAATACTTCTTAATACCTTGGGTTTGAGTGATTCATATATTGAGAGTTATAGAGGTTGAGAAATAGTTGGATAGAAAATAGCGATTTTGTTCTTGGGAACTCTGAAGGCGGAGGCTTTTTTTTGTGACTCATTTGTAATCTCTTGTAGCAACTTTCCGAGTATAGTGAATTAGAGAGTTTTTATCTCCCCCAGACGTAGATATTTTGATCAAAATGGGTAAACAAACCTTTCTCCTTTCTCGCCTTATTTTCTCTATTATATTTTTTCTTACTGGTTATTATTGCTAAAGGTCATTTATTTTGGTTGCTACTGTTCTTTGTCTCCTCACATCAAATTTCTTGGTGTGATTGAACCGTGAATAGTTTCTTATGATTAATTATTATATCAATTTCACAACATATTTTATTTTCTATTTAAAATAAATAAATAACCTATGACCTTGGGTGTTCAATAATAATCGATGGAAAAGTGTCACAGTTTTATTCATAATCAAATCTTTGTCATCCATTTATGAAGTATAAATGCACAAGACATTGTTGTTACACTAGGATTTTTAGCTAGTGGAAAGTCAATGAAGAAGGTCATAATGGAGGAACAAGTAGTGTTGAGAGCATTAATGACACAACATCAATAGAGCATCGACCAAAGAGCTAACTAATGTAGCATTTATAGTTTGGAAGAGTCACAAGAGCAGATCCACAAGATTAGGATCACCTAGAAAAGGGAAGTCGACATGACTCTTCTGTCGACAAGAATATCATTCGACGAAGCCATAGAAACTTAGGAATTCTCCAAGTTCGGGATTTTAAGAAAAGACAATGTTGATAACACGTTGGCAAATATTATCAAGAGTTAGTGGTAAAGTTTTGAAGCCGTTGAGTTCAACATGGGTTACAAGCAGTGGATCGTGGGTGACACGTTGACACATTAGTGGGAGTCTAGAGATTGAACATGGGGTGAAACATAGCATTCCCCTAGTGTCTAGAATCGTCTTCGACGATTATTTGTAAATAGAATAAATAGCATACTCATACATTGTAATAGAGGTCACAAAATTTCACACATTCTCTCCATACAATTGGAGTACCCGAGTCAAAGAGAGAAATAATTCTCGAGAAATATGTATGTGTCTACGTCCAATCTTTCCATTGTTTTCTTGTTTCCTTAATTGAAACATTTATTCTTTCTGTCATTGTTTAATGTCATTTATTGCACTTTATCTTGTCATTTATCAAAACTTGTCTTCTTGTAAACTTTGTCTTTACGTTGTCTCCGTACGAACGAATACATTCAATTCACATGCACATGTCATCATACAAATCATTTGCACAAATTGCTTTGGAGATTTTTCGAGTTAATCCCATAATTGACTCACACTTAATATTTCATTAAACTGACTATTTATTCTAGGAAACTTATTATTTTGGAAAAATAAACATAATTAAGAAATCTATTTTAATTATTAATAAATTATTTGATGCAAGCACAAAAACTATTGGCCTATAGGGATTACACCAACATAAGGTTGGTGCTAAAGTAACTTACCTGATTGAGGGATATTCATTTATAGGATTAAACTTCTGAATACTTATGGACGTTTCGAGTAGGAAGACTGTAACCTACTATATTTTGAAGGTTGTCAAAACTTTTCTATTGTACTAGTCAAACTTATTCAACTTAATGGTAAAGTTGTGGATTGTGTCTTCAATGACAATCTAAGAGGTATGAATGGTTATGAGCTATTGGGAGTGAAACCTAGAAGATTGAAGTTCATAAATCACAAATATATTACTTTCAGTAAGTTCCCGTAACGGGAAGAAGAGTAAAGACTTGGGGATAAAGTTTTTAGAAACTATGGCAGAGAGTTCTCAATTTAAGGTGGAGGTTCCTACTATTGATACTAGTGGTAGATAGGAACAATTACAAATGCCTCTAATTATTATTTGACTCGTGATAAAGTAAGGAGGGAGATTGTACCATCTCAAATGGAAGGTTATATAGGCCTTGAGTGTTATGCTTTGAATGGGTGAACGGTTGCAAATCATAGAAACATGAACCACCCGGGAGACGTTCGAAATTAGGTGGAGCCAAAGACGATTGAAGAACCAGATTTGTGGGATTGTCAGACTACTGAAGTAGAAAAATGTAGTTAAGAGCAAGTGGATGTAAGTGGCAAGATCAAAGTTCAAGCAAGGTTTGAACTTGATAAAAATTATTTAATAAATATGAAATTGGCAGAGAACAACAAAGTGATTGATGGATAAATTGACATCACAACGGTTTCAAGTCAAAGTGGAGATTGTTGAAATATGCGTTAAAATCTTAAGTGGTAAAGAGAAAGAAAACATATTTCGAAATTGCAGAAACCAGAAACCAACCTGAAAGTCAACAAAGAGCATAGCCGTGAGAGAATCTGGCAAATGAGTTGTTGTGGCGGTGCAAAGTAAGGATGACAGTGGAATCGGCATGGCAGAATGTTGGTGGCATAGCCGATGGTGGCAATGCGACATAAGATCTAGGTCTGGTGGGAGATTCGATTCGTTAGAGATTGGCCAATTTCTCGATTCACGTGTATTGGACTTCATTAGTGTCTTATTTGCACATAAAATTATTTTTGCTGCTAAAGTAATTTATTTTGTTTGTCATTTATTTTTTATCCACACATCAAAATAATTTTTATAAAGCACTTTTAATTATTTTATCAATGATTAAATATACGATGCCCCATATTAATAGGGTGAGTTTTGTTTTTCCCCCTTAATAAATATTTTTTGCAATCTCCCTTATAATATGAAGATTCTATAGAAACATTAATTATAAAAATAGTTCATAACCATCAGGCTAGCCACTACAGTTTGTCAATGTCTCTCTAAAAATTAATTTGTAGAATGATTAACCTGTAAAGATAACCAAACGCGCACCATTATCTTCTCCGATATAACCCTGCTTGACCAAATTTCTCAAACGAAAAAAACAATAAACCACAAACCAATTTTTTGAAATATTATCATATGTTTTCATATGACGTGGCATTAATTTTAACCTCACAGTAATACATATATTTGTTCAAAAGTTGTTCCGCATCTACATCAATTTTTTTTTAGTAAATTGATGCTCACTCTGCATCAATCTGAGGGAGTGTTAATAAAAAGGATATATAGAATATTTGTTATTACAAACTGTAATTATGTGTAATAATTGAGATCAGACATCAAGCCAAAAACCTTGTCACACACATGCACTAACTAGACATAAGGGAAGGAAGGGATTATTCAAAGTTAAACAAATAAAAAGAAATAGCAAAGTTCTATCCTAGCCTCTTCTTACAAATACATGAGGCACAAACATGTACAGACAGATCAAAATATGATTTATACAAACAAGAAAACTAATGTCTTGTGAAATTGAAATATGGTAAAAGAAAATCAATCTCCCTTGGTTGGTGGTCTTACACATGCACAAAATGGTGTTTTTTTCTTCTTTTGATGGTTGGTTCTTGTCCCGCCATAGAGATAATCTCGCAATCGTGCTCTCGAACTTTGATCAACCATTCCTGTTTTCTCTTTGATTTCTTTTCCATCATTCAGTTTCAAAAGAAGAAACTGCAGTCTTTGCACCTCCAACTGAAGTTGTCCTATTTTCTCTGATCCTCTCTGTGCCTGTTCCGAAACTCTCCTCCTGCTGACGTTTCCAATCTCACCTGACTCTGCTGCTGCCTTCCCAGCTGAAGACATTGCACCCTCTTCTACATTTTTCATCAGCTTGCGGTTGGCATCGAACAACTTCGTGACAGTCTCCTCAGAAGCTTCAAGCTGTCCTTTAACCGTATCATACTCGGCACCTTTCCTTTTTGTGCTCTTCTCGGTAGTTTCAACTTTCGTCATCAAATCTTGTATGGTTATTTGAAGGTTTGATAACTTCTGTGCATCTGAATCAAGTCTTTCCAAAACCTTGCTCTTGTTGGCTTCTTCACGCGGCCGCGACAATCTTCTTGAAATCTCTAACTTGTCCACACTCAATTCCTTTTCCAACAAGGAAACTCCTGAAGGATGTTTGTTGTAGGGTTTTTTGGCCACTCCTCTTTGACGATAATCTTCTACCGCTTCTGCTGACATCTTCTGTGTCTTATCAGATGTTTCCCACAACTCAAGCATGTGATCATCAGACTCAAGAGTTCCTCTCCTGCTTATTCCATAGGATGAACTTTCAGATATGTGATCAAGCATGATGTCTTTTGGTAGTACTTCAATCTCAGTTACAGGATTATCTGGCCTTGACTTCTCCTTTGCTTCTTGAATCTCTCTCATTTCATTCTCCAGTTTGAAACTTCCGTTTAAAGTATTAACTGCCACTGAAATTTCATTGATCCTCCTCTGCAGGTTTTGGAATTCAAGAAGTGGATCTGGTTTCGTAACAGTTTGATCTTCATCTATCTGTTGACCATTTTCAGTATATTGGTGACTTACCAAATTCTTAACCTGGAAATGGAGATTATAGGGAATACAAAATCATATTATATCCATGAAAAGGAAATAATAGCTGGTTACAAGTTGAAAAAGAGGAAATGAATACCTCCGGTTTTTCATAGTCATGATGTTTTGCATGTCCAAGAGTCTGCACCTCTAGGGATGTTACGCAATCACTCAAAGCACTGATAGCTGGAATATACGCAGCTAACTGACCATACAGTTTCGCATTTTCACCTTCCAACTTGTTAACTAATTCTTTCATCTGTTCACTTTCCATGTCTCTCGAGTTGTTTATCCGCTCAAGATGCTCACATGTATCCGCTAGCTCGCAGGCCTTCCCTTCAAATAATGTTTCATTGACAGCAGAAATCTGCAGTTCGGCGTAGAGTGCTGTAGCCTGAGTTTCCCATTGTTCAATCTCATTTATTCCTTCATGTACTTCATAACTTAGCTTCTTTTCCCTCGTTTTAGTCTCTTCAAGTTCATGGTGTAGGCACTTCATCAAAGATTCCAAATTTTGGTTTGCTTCGTAAAGGCCTCCAAGCTCTTCATTTTGACGGTCCTTGTCTGACGACAATTTAAAAACTTGATTAGCTTGCTCTTCAATTTTCTCCTTGGCATCATCATATCTAATCTTCAGATCTTCCACCGTTCTTTGTAACTCTTTCTTCTCGGTCTGTAAAGCATGAAATGTCTTAGCTGCTTCCAAAAGCACAATTTCCTTTTGACACAACATTTCCTTTTCATTTCTAATTTGACAATTCAATTGATCATTGACAGATTCAACTAAATTCAATTCAACATTTGACTTCACAAATAACTCTTTAAGATGAGAATTTTCCTTTTCTTTGCTTTCTAATTTGTGTGCCATTATCATCAATCTCTCCTCAAGGTTATTATTATTTGAACCGAGCTTATCAAGCTCTTGACCAAGCTGTTCAAGTTCCCCGAGTTTTTCAAAGATAATATTCCGGTAAACCACAGAAACATTAGATTGAACTAATGTCTCACGGAACATAACAAAAATTTCATTTTCCAAGTTAACCTTCTCTTCATTCAAATCTTTAAAGCTTCTCATCAAGGACTTTTTCTCTTCCAATATCGTGCAGTTTTCCTCCTGTAAGTTCTTGTAGCTCTTTTTCAAGTCCGACTGCTCTTTGTGTAGATTATCCATTTCAGATGTCATTCCTTCTATTCTCTCTTCTCCTTTGATTATTGTCAGCTTCAATTCCTGATTCATCTCCGATATCTTTTGGAACTCCATTTGCAATTCCATGAACTGCTTAGACTGTATCCTAGACTCATCGTCAAGCGCGTCTTTTTCTATCACAAGACTTTCTACCTTCAATTTCAACTGTTCAAGAAATGTAATCAGAACTGAATTCTGAACGGCCGTGTGGAGGCTTTCGTTGAAAATTGCGTCAAAAGACTCTTGTCTCTCCTTAAGTTTTCGATGTATATGGTTCAAGAGAGCTTGGTCTTCTTCGAGCATATCTTCAAAGAAATGATCCCTGTTAGTGTCAAGAGTCTTCACCACCTGAAGCAGCCCAATTCTTAGTATTTTAAGCTTCTCAGACAAAGAATTCACATCATCTTGCTTTTGAATACTCTCAGTCTCCAATTTAGAAATCATTCTGTCAGACATTTTAGACGCCTCCGAAAGTCTCTGGGACTCAACTAGAAGGGAAAAGTTTTTCTTCTCCAAATCTTGGATAAACTTCTGCAAGACGAAAATTTCAATTTGAGCATGTACAGCTCTATCCAGCTCCTCGTCATATGCTTCTTTCTGGCGCTTTGCATCTTCTTGCATGGTATGAATTTGTAATTCTTTGTTTGCCACTTCGTCTTCATTCAGTTTCAAAACTCTGCAATGTTCTTCTCTTTGAGAATATAGGGAAACCAATAGCTCTTCTACCTTTTGAAGTGCAGACTCCCTTTCTCCTTTTAGCTCCGAATGCATTAGTTCCAATTCACTGTGTTGTTTTTCAAGATGCTTCAGCATTTGGTGAGTGGTGTTCAACTCTGAAACTAAGGCTTCTTTCTCTGAAAAGATAGAGGACTTATCATGTTCGAGTAACCGGCACGTTTCTTCTAAGATCTTGGACTTTCCCCTTAATCCATCAAGTTCAGCATTGACATCAAACAGTGAATTTTCCAGAAGGTTGTTATTTTCCGAGAGCTTTTCCAGCTTCTCGATTGTGGCTTGTAATTGAGAAAACAAGGTGTCCTTATCAGAAGAAAGAGTTGATTTCTCCGCAAGCAAAGTCTGGCATGTTTCTTCCAAGACATTTACCTTTCCTCTTAGACTATCCAACTCAGAGTTCAAGTCTGAAATGGAATTCTCTAAAACCGAATTCTTCTCCAAAAGTCTCTCCATTGTTTCCAATTTCACCAAAAGAGCCATTTTCTCATCTTTCTCAGCCTCACACGTCTCTTTCAGCTTCGAGTTCTCGTCTTGCAATTTTTTCACAGACAAGCCAAAGCACTGAGGATCTAAGTCAGCTGACCTGACCTCCTCCATCAAATCTTCGTGTTTTTTATTCATGCCATTAAGCTCCTCTTTAAGACAGTAAATTTCTTGCTGAAGAGCATTTCTTTCATCAAGTCGCAGCTCAACCTCCTGTTCGAGTTTCTCTATTGTGTCTTTCAAATTCATTATCTCATCCTGCAAAGTTTTTATAGACAAAGAAGAAGAAACCTTGACCTCGTTTAGAATTTTGTTTTCCTCGTTGACTTTGCGCACTTCATCCTCTAGAGCCTCCTTACACAATTCGATATTCCTGAGTAATTCCGCTTTACTGTGCAAGTTGACAGCAAAAGATCTAAGCTCTTCCTGAGATTGAGAATGCAAATGCTGAAGAGTTTGGAAAGCGGTTTCAGCCTCAATGAAATGCCGTCTCTCCTCTTGTACACGACTCCAAAGTTTACTCAATTCTTGCTGCTTCTCATTAAGTTCTTCACTTTGAGACCCCACTTTTTGTTCCAAAGACTGTAATTCAGACTGTAGAGCATGATTTGATGTTTCCAAAAGAAGACACTTCTGTTCGGAACTATGTAACTTTTCAACCTCGTCATCGATCTTTGAATTTAACCGACGAACCTCCTCTTCGGCACACGAAAGTTTATGTTCCAAACTGGAAATTATCTCCAAGCATTGCTGATACCGGAGAGCATTGTCTTCCTTCTCTTCATTAAGTTTAGTAACTTCCAACTTCAAAGCCTCGATTTCATTTCTAGCTATAGTAGCTTGCTCGTTAATCCTTCTAGCATTCTCCTCGGATTCTTTTAATCTCTTCTCCAGATTCGATAAAGTCTCCAAGCACTGTTTATATTCAACAAGGGCAGCTTCCTTTTCAGCTTCTACTCGAACGAGGTCCAGCTTCAACAACTCAAGTTCAGTTTCAGCTTTAGTAGCGCGTTCGTTTAACTCTTCCGCGTCCTTCTCAGCAGAAGAAACATTTTTCTCCAGGCTGGTTATTTTCTCCAAGCATTTCTGGTACTGAAGAAGATAAGCTTCCTTTTCAACCTGTAATTTGTTTACTGCTTCGTTCAAGCATTGAACTTCAGCGTCTGATTTGCTTGCTCGTTCATCAAGTCTTTGATAAATCTCTTGTGCAGAAGACACTTCTAATTCAAGATTAGATAATTTCTCCAAACTCTTCTGATACTGAAGCAACCCAGCTTCCTTTTCATCTACTAATTTGGCAAGTGCTTTCTTTAAGGCTGAGATTTCCGCTTCAGCTTTTGTCACACGTTCGGACTCAGACAAAACTTGAGCCTTAGTGTTTTGACTTCCGTTTTTCAGCTCGCTAGTTTCCTCCTCCGTCTCTAAAAAATTGAGCCCCCTTCTAGCACGCCCTTCTGCAAACTTGGCGTGTTCTCGAGGGATGGAGAGATTACTGAGCTGTCTCAAACCTGTATTGTTCAAAGGAGAATAAGATTCTTCATTAAACGCTCCGTTTCTTTTGATAACATGAGTGTCCTTTTCTAATTCATCCGAATCAAGAAATGCGCGTGAAGGATGGCGAGTATCAGGAGTACGCGGCTCAGCCTCCATATCATCCGTGATCATCATAGGAACTTGATTAGGAAATGCTTCAGACATGGTCCGATGTGCTTGGCGGATCACTCCAGTTGCATGATCGTATCTCTCAGCCAACGCTCGGTATGCCCTATAAAACTCCTCGACCATTTTCATAAGCTCCGGCCGTTTTTTATAGTACATTTCCGCCCTCCTGGCAAAGGAATCCGCATCTTCTTCAATGAGCTTAATCATTTGCTTCACCTTGAAATCCATATCTGTGCAGCACGAGATATCATCGGGATAAGTTCAAACGATGGATGATAACAAAACAACAATAATTGGTGCAACTCAATAACTATGTTAATCTCTTAAGTTACTAAAATTGAAAAGATCGAAAGCGTTACCGGTGATATTTTCTTGGAGCCATTTTGAGTTCTTAGGGCTTATGTGACTATCCCACCACCAAGAATACATTCTCGTAGAATTAGCTTGAGACATCGTCGCCATCGCCGATTTGTGTCCTAATATTGTATGAACTTAATCAATCCTTCAAATACATGAAGAACCAAAACCTCCACATGAATATGGTTTGACTACAAAGTCAACCAAGTCACCACAGTTTCTGCTTCTGTATCTATTCATTGGAACAAACAAACAAAAGAATTACAAATTTTTCAGTTTCAGATAAACCAAATCCATTTTTTATTTTCTCAAATTGATTGATCCAAATAAGTAAAAAAAAACATACCTGATCGGTTGAAGTTGGATTTTGTTTCTAAAAAATTCCAAAATTGAATCAACAAAATTCTGATCTGATCATGGCGTCTGTTATTTCTGTATAACCTTGATTAAATCAAATAAATACAAATCAATAATCAGTTAGAAGAATACAAATCAATAATCAGTTATCAAATTTTAACAAGAATAGATAGATGATTACAAATCAGATGTAAACTATGTAACTGAAATTACATGATCAATCAAACCACATGAAATTGATTAAACTTAAGATCAGTGATGAGTAGAAAGAGAGTTGAATTAAAGTGAATTAAGCAGAGAAAAGAATTGAGATATGATGAAACTCACCAAAATGAAAGTAAAATAAATCAAAATTATTTTTGACATTGAATTTTGTGTCACCCCATATTAATTAGTTTAGATCTCAGTGCCATGCGCAAAACACAGTAAACAATGTTGTCTCTGTGTGTTTTTCTAACTTTCTGTGTGTATGTGTTCTCTCTCTTTCTCTGTTCTTTTTTTTTGTTTTTTAGTTTCTGTTTGGTTTTGATTATGGTTTGCTGGTTGGGTGGTGCTTTGTCTCCTCACCAGCGAAGAGACAAATTGGCTACAAAAAGGTGGGTGGGTGGGTGTGAAAATAAACTGAACTATTATTATGGTAATCATACTATTAAACTTTCTTTAATTACCTATAATTTTTAGGGTTTAATTAATCTCATAATTTTATATTTAATTTAATAAATCATAAAACAAAAGGGTGTAAAATTATTTTATCCTTTTCTCCTATTTTTATTAGTACTAATTCTCATTCTTATTTAAGATTAGTTGAAGGTTAAAAGTCAGATTCAAATTCATTTAAAACACTTTTCAGATTCTATTTGGTGGATATTTTTTCCTTAAACATACGTTGAAAATATTAATTCAAGGTAGAGAGCATTATATAAATATAAAGTAGGAATTTTGAAGCTTAGACAAATTTGATATGCCGCAATTGCCAAATCTGGGCGATGCGTGATGCGTGATTAATTAATAATTAATATTGGTTCAGGATTTGTAGTCATTACAGCTACTGGTGAAAAGAAAATTGAAGTATTAAAGTAGTGCTTGGTAGATGTTTATCTGTATAAAGAAAATAAATAATGATTGAAAATTAAGTGAGGAGAAACGATGAGGAGAAATTAAATATGAGGGGGTTGACGAGACAGTGACGGGGTGTGGTGGCTAAATTCCAAGGCGGTGGGCGGTGATCCTTCTTTATGCGTCACCCGTGACTCATTACTATTAGGCGGGCTCAAAGGAATTTCATTTTCAATTGTCGCATGCTTTTCGTGGGAAAATAGTGATAAGAGCTTTCTTCTTTATGGTTTTACAAGTGATAAGGGTGGGATGACTAACTCATTTTTCTAAAATAAATTATTCTTTTCTTATTTAACTTAGTATTTTTAAAGATGTGTTTTCGTAATAATTTTAAGGACTTGGTTTATGCGATAATAAGATATAGGATAGAATATATGTATCATATTTTATCTTAATCTAATATTTGATAATATAATTGGATAGATTATTTTTAAGGGCGTGTGTGATACGGTGGGAAGAACTGACTGTTTTTTGGAATGTTGGTTTGCGTTTTGCGTTTGTTTTCGCAAAATATCGCGGTAAGCAAGAGTCGCCATCGACTTTTATTTTATCCAACAAGGAAAGGAAAAAAGCATAGAAAAATTCTTTTTTTTAGAAGTTTCTCGAGTTCGGGGGGTAGATTATAGAAAGGGAAGGTGTTAGCACCCTTTCTATCTGTGGTTATCCACGGGCTCTTACGTACTTGCTCATATTGTTTTCAAAATTGCTTTCTTTGTGCTTGTGGGTTTGAAAAAAAGTTTTTGTTTTGAAAACTTCGATTTAACTCTTGCTTCTGTCCTCAAGAGTGTATGAAGTATTTTTGAAAACTTTGTTCGAAAAAGTGTAAGTGTGAAAAAGATTTTGTTTTTTGAAAGAGCAAATATCTAAGAACCATCTACCTACTCGAAAAAGGAATCGTTATATGCTATCTTCCTTTAGACAATGCTATTCCACTATTGATGAGTAGGTAGCATCGTCGTTGGAGTTTTAAGGGTCAATTCGAATGCGGGACTGACGGTCACTAAAGCAATGTTAGGACGCCTTAGCGGTAACCCTAATGTCTTAGATCATTTGTTTGAGGCAATCATATCTGAGGCAACCATTTCGAGGCGACTATGATCTTTTAGACAAGAGGGCGACCTCTAAAGTGACTTATACTCAATGATTGCGTACGAAGGCAACCAAGTGGGGTGTACCCTAAGAGTGCGCATGTGCGAGTGTATCGTTTTCAGTTTATTTTTATCTTTGTACATGTTAATGGTGATCTAAGTTGATTTTAGGTTAAAACATTCAGTCTTGTCATGTCATTCTATTATCAAACATCTAACAATTATAAATTGCGGAATTTAAATTACAAGGCGTCGGGTATTTACATCGCCAAAGACAAACCCTTTAAAAATAAATAAAGCGATAAAAAATAAATAAAGTTCCTATTAAGCTATTACAATCCGGGAGCAAATATAATATTGGGTAAATATAAATAAATCGCGTGCGGGAAATTAAATCGAGCGCAAAATTCTAGGGTTTTGACCCTTTTTGTTAAAGAAAAAAAAATTTTGTTGTTTTTATATTTTATGAAAGAAGTTAACCTAAATTAATTACTAAATTAATAAATTAGTTAATTAATAAAAAAATAAATTATTTTTGGTCTTTTTGTTATTTTAAGAAAGAAATAAAAATTAATTGAATTAGTAAAAAACTTAATTAAATCTAATTTAATTTTAATTATTTACAAAAATATGTTAAAGTTATTCTAATTAATAACCTAAATTAATTTAATTAGTATTTATTAATAAAAATTAAAATTAAAATTTGATTAAACATAAAAATATTTTGTTATATTATTTTATGAAAAGGTTTTTTTTTATTGGTTAGTAATTAAATAAAAAAATAATAAAAACAATTAATAAACAAAATAAGTAAAATAGAAAGAGAGAGGTTTGGGCCTGAAAATGGTGGTCTGAATAACAATCCTGTGGCCCATTAAACACTGACCCTGTTGACTTTTTTGGACTTGGTGTGCATGCATGGACTTGACTCCATGGTGAACCTCAGATCCTGGCCACCAGATTTGGCCTTTGGCCATCTGGCCATTGGATGCTTGATGGACTATGGTATGATGCATGCTTGGATACGCACTTGATCACCTGAAGAGAAAAAACAAATGGAAATTGGGGGAACCTGGGATTCGAACCCAGGTCCTGATGGATATGAACATGCGCGCTTACCACTAGGCCACTTTGATCTATTTGTTAATATATTAGAAATATTATATATTATATGAAAACAAAAGTTATTGCCAGCAAACAATAAAAAGCGCGCGTGGTTTTGAATTGGCCATTGGGAGAACGACAACTCATCGTCCCCTACCTCCAGCTCCTGCAAATATTACCTGCAGATTTGGATCCACAGCTGAATGCGCAAGCTTGCTCTAAAATCCATTCCAGGCCATGAAAACAAATTCCACGAACATGGTTGGACTCGTCTGGGCTTCCTGATCAACGATATGTCCTTCTTTAGTCCCATTTTTTCCTGAAAAAGAAAACCCTAAAAAACACACGAAGAACCCTAGCTATGGAGGTTCTTCATTCAGGCTAGAAAAACACAATTGGATAATCCAAAAGCTTGGAAATGTTATGAGGATCACAAACATGTCAATGATTTGTTTAAATGATGCAAGAATGAGCCAAACTGAATCCAAGAACAGAGCTAGGTAGCGAGGGACTTACAGTGCATTTGGGTGTGTGAGGAAGCTTGCTTTGGATTGGTTTAGCTTTAGTGAACGTCCAAGAAGCGATTGAGATAATTCTTGGCTTCTGAAAACACCTCTAGGCACGATTTCGATGTCAAGCTTTTTACCACTTTTTCCAAACTTTGTTCTGCCTATGCTTGCACTCTCCAACCCTTATTCACGTCCCTTTGGCTTGTTTATGTAGTGTGGAATGTATTAGGATAACAAACTTGATTCAAATCTTGCTCCAATAATGATTTCCAATTTGATTTGATTCTCCATTACTAAACCTTCCAAATTTGCCAATTTTCAATCTTTTTGCACATGGTTTGGTGTGATACGAATTTGATGATGTTAATGATGATGATTAAAGCCTGAAACAACAAAAGAATCTCATGTAATCAAAGTTTTGGATTTTTTATGATTTAATTTGATTTAAAATGAACAAATTCAAATAAAAATCAAATAAAATAATAAAAATAAAATATGAGCTCATGGCTGAAGCTAGGACACGTGTGCAATGATGCAAGCTCAAATCAAGTGGAAAAGAATGGTCTTATTTGACAAAATTTGAAGTTTTGGGGATAGTTGACTTTTGGCAATTTTGCAAAAATGTCCAACTTCAAAAATACATAACTTCTTCAATTTTGAACTTTTGGAAGTGTTCTTGGACTTTTTAGAAAGCTTGAGATATCCTCTAACCAACCCTTTTTGTCTCATATCATTTTGATATTCCATGCTCAACTTATAAGCTTTGGAAAAAAAGGTGTTTTTGTTGACTTTCAAAAAGACCTATAATGTCCAAATTTGTAACTTCTTGTGAGTGCATTTTTTTATCTTGGGGTATGAATATGGATTGTATAAAATTTCATCCTCTTAAACATGAGCTTTGGATGGGTCATTTCTCATAAAGTATGAGAAA